CATTTCTAGCTCTAACCCAAACAGCCTTTTTAGGGCTGATCCAACTGCAAGATTTGCATCTCAAATGAGATGGCACGGAACACCTCATATGGAGCTAGTCCTAGCTGGATGCCTGAACTTCCTCTAAATCTGCTTCCTCACATGCTCCACATCTCCCCGGTGGCACTGGTGGCACTGAACTCACCCAGGGATTCAACCCATAAATTCAGGAGTTATTTTTGATCACTGTCGATCTTTAACCACCCTGTCCAATCCCTCGCCAACCCTGACAATGCTGCCTTCACCCTCTCCTCTTTCTGGCCCCTTACATGCCACCATGCTGGCCCAAGGATGCCCGCTGTCTTCCTTGACATGACGACTGCATCAGAACTGCGGAGCCCAGCCTAGGGTGGCCACTCACGGACACCCCGGGGGTACTGTTCAAGACCCGGTCTTTCACCTGCTGAAATTGCTCTGTGGGGTCTGAGAAGCCAAACATTCTGTACCGCGTCCTCACTGCCCAGCTTGCTGGGGTTGCCCCTCTGTCCCCAGGTCGCTTGCAGGCCCCATTAGGCACAGGGTCCTCCCTCACTGGGGCTGGGTCCTTGCGAGGAGACAATCTCTGTCATGCCTTGGGTGTTAACTCACAGACTCCTTTACCTTCCTGATCTTTGCTGAGTGTTTAGTCTCCTTTTATACTTTAGCGTTGCTTCCTGAGAGAGGTCTTTCTTAAAATCCTTTACCAAAAAAAAAAAAAAAAAAAAATCACGACCCGCAATTCCATTATCTTTCTTTAGAGAATAATTACTTATTAGTTTCCTTTTATGCTTGTGTTAATATAACCTGTGAACACCGTGAAGGCGTTTGCTGCGTGCATTTAGTCCTGGCACAGACAGAATATATTAAAAGCCAAGAAAATGATCCTTAAGATGTTTGTTTAAATACTCTATTCCTTTCCTCCCCCATGTGAGAAAATTGATGGTTTTTGTATGAGAGTTTTTAATTAGAACTTCTCTGGGAGGTTCTGTGCATCCACAAGCAGTTGTAATAAATAATGCACAGTGATCCCTGGTGCCTTTGTTCAGTTTCCCCAACGGCACCTTGCAATTCTATAGTGTGGTGTCTTTGCTCCTGTCCTTCTTAACCCCGGCCAGCCATTCTCTGCTCTCTATTTCCATAACTGTCATTTAAGGAATCTTAAACCAAACCATACCATGGGTGATCTTTTGCGACTGCCATCCTTTTCTCTTGGCATAATTCTCTCCACATTGCTGCATTCCATCGACAGTTTTTCCCTTTTCCCTGCTGAATAATATTCCACGCTCTGGAAGCTCCAGTTTTGTACACCGTTCCCTGCTGAAGGACACCTGGGCTCTTTCCAACTTGTAGCTGTTCCCCACAAGGCTGCTGTGGTCACCTGTGTGCAGGTTTCTGTGTGAATGACCATCTTCCTTTCTCTGGGATAAACATCTGGGACCGTGATTGCGGGCGCTGGGCAGACCTTTATCAAGTTTTTACGGAAACTGCCACAGTGCTGCCCAGAGGGCCGCTGTCCACTGTGGATGGCTCTTTCACCGAGCTTTTTATTGCCAATTATGTTTTTCCATTACAAAAATTCAGACTGCTTTACATTTTCCGTTTCTTCTCTGAGGGTTTCCACTGCTTCATTTGTTTCGAGAAAGTCTGTGATTACTCACCGAGGCATTTTATCAGGGCTGCTTTAAAATAACTGTTGGATAATCCTAAAAGCTCTGTGAGCTAGTTGTTGGGATTGATAAGTTTTCTTCCTTTTAGTTTGAGATCTTCCCAGTCTTTGGTGTGATGAGTGATGTTTTTGTTTGAAACATTTTCATATTTTCCCCATGGCAGTTAGGGCAGTTAGTTTATCCAGCACCTGCTGACCGTCATGGAGGCAGGGTCAGTGGACACTCAGCACAGAACAGGGTGGGAGGGCGCATCTAAGTACATCTGTGGAATGCATCTAAGTACAAAATTTTCTAGCAGGGACAAACCTCAAGTCTCCCTTTAAGATTCAATAAGAAGGGCCTCCTCGGCGGAGCAGTAGGTTGAGCGCAGTGCTGTGAAGCTGTCCACAGCCTCTGCAGCACGGGTTTGATTCCTGGCCAGCCAGGGAGATACCCACATGGCGCAGCAGACCTCTCCTGTCTCGGCTGCTGCTCCCTTCAGCAGTGTTTTTGGTCCATCTGCCTGTTCTGCTCCCCACTGTCTCTGGTGAACCCTCTCACCCTCTCATGCCTCTGGCCTGTTCCCCATTTCTTGTATGAATAAATCTTTAAAAAAAGATTCAATAAGAAGATAATGATAAGAGAAGGGGACACTTTGCTTATTTGATAATGTTAAATAAAATTTGGAGATAGGAGTCAACAGCAGTAGTGTAATGATTACTTGGAGTAACTTCTCATCCCAAATCAGGGGAGACGCCCTTTTCTTGCCAGACTCTAAATTAATTGTCTGCATTTTTATTTTGTTTTTTTTTTATTATTAATAAAGTGATTTGAAAGTTTTGGGTTCCAAAGATTCCTCTAAATCCAAAGTGATTTTCAACAGAGTGGTTTCTCGACTCTACTCAAGTTTACATCAGGTATTAACTGCAATGAAATTCCTTTTCTTAAAATTTCCACTCTGCCTGGACAAGCAAAAACTCCCCTATCTCACCCCAACCTACTAAAGAGAAAGGCAAAGAGAGCTATGATTGCGGAAATGTTGTTTCTTTCATGGAGATGATGTCTTGCTCCCGTTTTTAGCATGTTACATACTCAACACTGATGATATCAATTGCATTTGGGTCGCTGAGAAGTGGGACACCTCTGCTCTTTAATAGGAATATTATAAAGTAAGGTGGGTACAGTCCCTCATGATATGGAGTGATAGTTCCAGACTCCACAAAATAACCACCCTGTGGCTCCCTCCGCTTCTTCATCGGGTAGCTGGTGGAGGTGGCACAGCCCAAGCCAAGCTTCGTGGATTGGTGCTCTCCCACTGCTGTTGAGTTCATGATCTTTTTAAGGTGGAGGAAGGCTGGATGGGTGACCTTCAAGGGCCCCTGACACACTGATACTCATAACTATCTTGAATAAAAGACAAACAAAAATTGTGACTTCAGGAAGTTGTACGTCTTCCTCCCCACTCAGACCACATGTCAAGTACTGGGGTGTGCTAGGTCGTACCCCCTGAAGGCAGGAACTGGTGAAGACAGGCGCTGTGTTTCCAAGCAAAGCCTCCAACTTAGAGAGAGGGAAGCTCTCCTGGAAGTACACTGTGTGTGTTCTCTGTAGGAAGAATGTACATATTGTGGTTTCATTTTGTTCTCTAATTCTTGTTTTAGATACGTAGGAAAATAAAGCAAATCCTTATTTGTCCAAGCCAAGTCAGGATGTACTGATTTCCCTTGAGGTGAAATAGTTCACTCTCATTGTATTATTTATTTATGTAATTTTTATAGCTCGTAATTAAGTCAAGCTCTTGCAGACTGTACTGTAGATGAGTAAGATTAAGAAGAGGGGAAGCCAGTGACAAGTCCAGCCATTAGTGGACTCTAAGGTCAAGCTACCCGGTAACAGGGACCCTCTCTGGGGTGCGCTTACATTTGTTAGCATGGGGCGAGAGCTCCCACTTCACTGTCTTCTCTGCACCCTTTCTGCACTCACGTCCTCACCAGCCCCCTTTCCAGTCTGTGCCTCCTTGGCTCCCTGACCTCGCCACAGCCCGGGGGAAGGTTCTCTGCCCAATTTGCACAACCCTGTTTCCACTTCGCACCTATTAAATCAAAGGCTCCAGGGCTGGGGCCAACCAGTTTGTATAGGAAGGAAAGAAAGTCAAAGCTCCATAAAGGATTCGCAAGTAGAGCCAGATGGAAGAACCAGTGGCTTCTAATGGAGTTGAACTTGAATCTTGTTTGATTGATGTGTGAGTTTTTTAACTCTCTAACCTTCTAGTTAAAAATAACAACACCTTATTCCTGGTAACCTTTTCTGAAAGTTTACTATGAGTCAGAAAATATGCCAAGAGGATATACAGATCATCTTTAGTCGTCTAACAATGCTGTGAGCTAGGTTTCCTTATTGACCACTTTACATGTAACGATTCCGAGGCTTACCGAGTTTGATAAAGTTGATAGAAAGTAGTTAAGATTACACATCTGGTGATGAGTGAAGCCAGGATATAAACCCAGGGAGTCTGAGTAGAGAATCAATCCTGGCCTATGGATTGATCATGGGATCACAGAACCTGAGACCTGGTTAACAGTCATCGCCATCAATAGCATCTTGTCATGATCTGCACCTCATAAGCCTCTGGAGTCCACGTCTATAGCTGGGCTCTCCTGAGGCCAGTAAATACCCACGTTTCCCACTTTTCTCCTCCGGGAGGTTGAGAAGTGACTGTCTGATAGAAAGCGTGGAGGCCTGTACTTAAATATTACTGCAGGAAGTTAGGAGAACCCGCCACTTCATGTCATACCCTGCCTTGACACTGAATGAGGAAGTGGAAAAAAAGTATGTTTTATTCCCAAGTGGAACATTCCAGATAAATTTCATGAAAACTGCAAGTACATTCTGCTATTGCCATGTGGGGCCCCAGTGCTAACAAAGGCTCCTCTGGAATCCTGGGGACCGAGGACGGCGGGGAGGGCCACGGCTTCCTCTTACGTGGGCAGCGTGGAACAGTGAGCAGCGAGCGATGCCAGGTGCACCCATGCTGAGGGCCTCGGGGGCGGCTTCCTGGTGCCCTTTCAATGTCACTTGTTGGTGCCCCCCAAGCCCCTCGTTGCACATGACAAATCCTGATGATCAATTATTCAGGTCAGAAGGTAGAATTTAAAAATACTGATTCAGGTTTTATTGCTTTAGAACTACATGTCACTCTCTAACCTAACAAATCCACAAGAGTCACCTTACAGCACGTTGTGACAACAACACAGCCCAGAGAAACACGCCTAGAGCTGCTGTGCGTGCTCAGCACAGCGACCAGCCATCCCTGTGAACACAGCGCGGCGCAGTTACCTGTCATGTTGCAGTAGACTTTCAGAGGCCCCAGGGGCCCGCTGCCGTCGGGATCTATCCAGTAGTAATTGGACGTCTGGCCGAGGTGCTTGTAGGCTTCGCAGGACGGCTCGTAGATAGCTGCAAGGAAAGAGCCCACGTGAGCAAGCACAGGTCAGAAGGTGCCCGGGAAACACCCCGGACACGTGGTGTTTAGTGCTGCTGTTAACAGCTCATCCTCTTATGAGGCCAGAAATTCTTTTTCTCTACATTGAAATTCATCCTTTGCTTCTTACTCTACAAGCATTTCTGAACTCATAAGACAACAGCAAGTTCCCGCTATACTTTGACAACTGGGGAAATGTCTGAAACAATCACTACCTTGTTAAATGAACATAATGTTTGTTTCTATGCAGATTATGATCATTAAAAATACTCTGTCTGTTTATAGCAGCACTATTTACAATAGGTAAGCTTTGGAAACAACCCAAATGCCCAAAAATAGATGACTGGATCAAGAAGATGTGGTCCATATACACCATGGAATATTACTCAGCAATCAAAAAGATAAACACATGCAGTTTGCAGCAACATGGATGGAGCTAGAAGGGATCATGCTCAGCGAAATAAGCCAGAAAGAAAAAGAAAAATACTGGATGGTCTCACTCACAGCAGGAATTTAGAAAACCTAAATAAGGGACCAGGAAAAAGACTAATTAATACAAAGTAAAAATCAAAATCAACAAGCAACTATAAACCAGAGACATACAACCGTGGGGTGGGGGGGCAGGGAGAGGAAGGACTAGGGTCAAAATAAGGGGGGTGCAATTGTATGGGAATATAACCAAAATGAAAATGCATACATTGTGCCAAAATGAAAAATGATGCAAGAATTATATAAAATAAAATATTAAAAAAAATACTGTGTCTGAAGAGATGTGGACCTATGTCCCTAACCCATGGACAGTGTCGGGAACCAACATTTCCTCCATAAAAAAGAACACAATTTAAAAAAAGGAAAGAAAAAAATAATCTACAGTTATTTAAAGGTATCATCTCCTTACTGTTAGCAACATATTTTGAAAGGTCGTAAATATTGGATGCGTGGCTGATTTGTTGAGCTATTAACTAAAAGATCTGAGAAATTTTTGCCTATCTGTTTTTCTGTCTCTCTCTCTCTCTCTCTCTCTCTCTCTCTCTCTCTCTCTCTCTCACACACACACACACACACACACACCCCTTTTTTGGGGCATCAATAGTACAAATTTCCCTCAAACAGCACATGGCTTCTAATCTTTTATTTCAGGAAAAAGGAATGTTCCCGATCCAGTCTATCTATGCAGTTCCTTTAACTACATCATCTAGTTTGTACAGAAAGCTGACATCCGCGGAATGAAATTAATTGGTCCTTTTCCATTGTTTTCCTTCTTATTCCCAGGCTTCGGGCACCTTTTCTTTCCTTACTGAAACTGTACCGGTTTTCAGGAGTACAAAGTGGACATTATATCGGTCCTTAGTAATAGAACTTCTAAAATACTATTGAGAAGACTTTTTAATCAGATCCACACTGACATCTGTGATGAATGTGAAAGTGTTCTTTACAAAATGAAAGAATGTTTCTGGAGAAAATCTATGTGATGGCAGGTAGTGGGGCCTTTGGCGACTTGAACTTGACCCCACGCCGGCACCTGCAGTCTTGTTCGATTGATAAGCAGCAGGTCAGGCGGTAGGGGCTCCATTTTCTTCCTTCTTTCCCATTCTCTGTGCCTCCATGGCTTCCTCTCTCATGCATGCTAGAACTTACATTCCTATCCTTTTCAACAACAGCACACTTCCTACCTTCTGCAGGTATTTATTGAGTACCTATGATGTTGGCCAGTGGATTAGACCACAAATAACAGCTGTAAACAACCCGGAGAAGGATCCAGGCAGCAGGGTCTGCTCACTAATTATCTTGGTATTGCTCATGCATGAAGGTTCCCGGAAGAGGATGTGACCAGCACGTTAAGCAGAATCCAAGCTCAAGTCCCGGCGTAGTTATGAAAATGCCCCATTTCAGTCTCCCGAGAGTGGAATAAACTATGGGTGTTCTAATTTTGAATCTTATATCAAGTAAAATATTACAGCGAAAGGCCATGGGGAAGTGTTTTTAAACTTTAAACAGGAAGATTCCATCATTTGAGGAAGGTGCTAGAAGCAAAACTCCTGGCAGTAAAACAGCAGGTCTCAGGGAGGTGATTGGGAAGGTAATGAGAGCATTCAGGCTGCCGTTGCCCACAGGTCAGTTGAAAGAAGAGCAGAGCCACAGAGACTGTGAGGAGGGACCAGGCCACGTGAGAAAGGACAAAGTGGCTGGGGCTGCTTCACGCGCCCACACCCACAGGTCACGGAGATCACAGGTATAGGTAGGAAGAAAAGGAGTCAAAATACCTTAAATTCATACTCTCTGAAAACGAACAATTAATTTTTAATAAATAAATTTTTAAAAGGTAAATGAATTAAAAAGATTAATTTTTGATGGCCTATTACCATTTTTTGGGTATAACTCAAAATCACCCAGACTGTTATGTTCCAAACCTAAAGTTTTCCAGGGATCCCCTAGGGACAACTTTCCATGAGATCGCTCACCTCCCGTCCCTCTATGTGATAACTAATCGTTCTCTTTTCCCTGCTGATACCTTGGCCAGCTTGGTTATTTGGCATCTTGTCTATAATGATATAATTAATTTGTTTTCCTACCCAAATATCTCATTACTTTTCGTGAAATGATGCATTTTAGCCAATGTTAGCTATTCCTAAAACATAACCTTCATTATTTCAAAAAATGTTAATGGTTCTTCAGAATCGGTGATATCTCATCCCAGATCACCATCACTCACGCAAGACCGTCCGCCATCCTAACAGACCTTTCTTGGCTTTAGTGACTTGCCTGTGCTCGGCTCAGGCAAATCCCACACGGGCTAGTTTCCTGCATGCTGGCCCTTTCTGAGCTTGCCTTTATCTGCAATAATACGATAAGCCTCTTTCTTAATCTACACCACTTCTCAGTCAGAGTTCACTCTCGCAGCAGACGTGTAAGAATCTGGCTTTATACTCCAACAGGTTTGGGTTCCAATCCTGACTCCACAGAGTACTAGGTTATACGCTGGCGATGTTCCAGGCTCATTCACCTTTGTCTCGAGACCTATCCTAGGCATATTACAATGGTGCTATGAGAACGGAGGAAAATAATCCATGTCAATCCCTTAACACAGAGTCTGGTCTGTGGTAAACATTTAATGGGGGGGGAACTTTTATTATTAATAATCACTACTCAGCATCCATTCACATTCTGCAACGAGGGAGACTCTCCTAGTTAGCCTGTCTTCCTCATAGTCATCGCTCAGCCTGTTACTATAATCCTTGGTCCTCATCGACGTAGGACGTGGTTGACTGCTGACTGAATTTTATATGTGAACATGTCCTTCCCTCACAGGGAAGGCTCTAGAAAATGTGGCTTTGTTTGCTGCTCCATTTAACCGATATGGTAGATGTTTAAGAAAATCTGTCAGAACTATAATTAAAATGGACCTATTTTCCCTCCTGTTTGACTTTGATAGAAGATCAGTTGGCTAATCAGGAGAAGCGTGCGAAAGAGTGACAGGAGGATGGTACTGAGTCCAGGTACCTGCTGTATGTCTAAGGAAGGACACTGGCCATTTACAGAGGGAGCGTGACCTGAAGCCAAGTAGTTAACTAGTCATGGGTGACGAAGGCGTGTGATGAGGGCCATCTGGGTAAAGAAGAAGTTCTGTTCGTTTTCTTCCAAGTGTGACAGTGACTCTGCGTGTCTCTAGCTGGTGACAAGCTGACAGGCCTACTAACTGCTTTTGCCTCATGGACACAAATGCAAAACCAAGTATTTCAGCCCAAATTCTGGCATGTGTGAGAATCACCTGGAGAGCTTAGAGCTTGTTACCACAGGCTCCTGGGCTTCACCCCCAAGACTATGGCTCAGTACAGACCTGCCATTCTAACGAGCTCTCAAGAGCTGCTGTGGCTGGTCCTGCTGCACTTTGAGAAACAAGACTTTCATCCTAAACCAGCCAACCAGCCAACAAATCCCTCACCCACACGGGTGGATGAATCCTCTACCTTTCAATGTAAGTGGATCGCTGAAAGGAGACAGAATAAAGTTTAAATAGAATAAGATTAGATGCCATCTCACTTCACTCAAAATAACAAAATCAGAATGGGATAAAAAACTCTAAATAAAAATACAATGTTCAATAAATTCATCTTGGAGGGACACCCAGGAAAATATTTGAAAAGAAGTATAGTTACAGTTCTGTCATGGAGCAGTAAGATGACAGATAATTTGAAACTTTTCATAGTTTTCTGCATGTACAATATTTTATACTGTACACGAATTATGTTAGCTTTAAAGATATACTTGCAAAATGCATCCCTGGGATAACGGCACTGAGGAAAATGGCAAGGTTGGCTGGGATAGAGTAAAACTGCATTAGTTTTATAACCGAATAATTATGAGAGTTTCATTCAAATCTCGTCTTTGTTGTTTACTATCTGGAAATTCTCCTTAACTTTTACTTATCTCAACTACGAAATAAAAGCAATACTACCTGCTTCCCGAGGTTACTGTGAAGATTAAATGGAATCATACACTTTGTAAACTGAAAAGCATTGAGCATATTGAAAATTTATTATTTTTTTCTGCTCTTGCAAAGGCTTTATTAGTATCAGAATAACTGGCCTCATAAAATGTCTTGGTTAAGTATTTCCTCATCTTACGTTTTTGGGAAGTTTTATAGAATTGGGATATTTCTTTCTGAATTTTTTTTTTTTGGTATTGTTTGAGTTTTCTTTTCTTTTTTAAATTTATTTATTTATTTATATATTTTTACATCATTGTTCATTTTTGTACAATGTTTGATTTCTCCTATCCCCGCCATGGCCATGACTGTCTCCAATTTATTGTTTGCCTGCTGGCTTTGTCTTTTGTTTCTCTGATCCCTTCCCTATGTTCCTCCTATTAGTTAAACTATTGATATTTTGGACACAGACAGACAACTAGGTAGGGGAGACAACACAGAACTCGGGGAGAGCCTCACCTGTGCACATAGGCTGGCTGAGACCTTCAG